ACTAGCCAGAAGCTACGTCTGGTGGCCCGGCATCGACGCAGAAGTAGAGGCGTGGGTGAAGAGGTGCCAGGCATGCCAAGCCGTGCGACCCAGCCCACCAGGAGCGCCACACTCCTCGTGGGAATCCACCCGCACCCCGTGGTCTCGGCTCCATATAGACTTCGCCGGACCATTCCATGGACTGTTGTTTTTGGTGACGGTGGATTCCTACACCAAGTGGTTGGAGATCAGCCCCGTCTCCGCCACGTCTACCAAGGTGACCATCCCCGCCCTCCGGAAAATCTTCGCCACCCACTGCTTGCCGGACACCATCGTCTCGGACAATGGGACAGCATTTACTTCTGAGGAATTCCAGCAATTCCTCAATGGCAACCTGATCCAGCACATCAGGACGGCACCCTTCCACCCGGCAACCAGCGGCCAAGCTGAGCGCATGGTCCGGACTGCGAAGGAGGCCCTCAGCCGCCTAACAGAAGGGGATTGGGAGTTCCGCATCGCCAAGTTCCTCCTAGTGCAACGGACTACGCCCAGCCTGGTGAGCGGCTGCTGCCCCGCCGAGCTGTTGATGGGCCGGAGGCCAACGATCCTGCTGGACCGCCTACACCCCGATCGGGCCCCGAGCCAGCAGAACCCCACCGAGCAGAGGAAAGCACTGCACGGGTTCTTCCCCGAGGAACCCGTCTTTGCCCGTAACTTCAGCAGAGGGCCGGAGTGGCTCGCAGGCCGCATCGTCAGACCAACGGGCACCGTCATGTACGAGGTGTCCACAGAGTGCGGCCAGACGCTCAGGAGGCACATCGACCAGCTCAGGCGGCGAATGCTTCCCGATCACGAGTCAGCGGAAGTGCCGAGGTAGCGGGCAGAGCACGGAGAGGATCCGGGCGAGGCTCCAGAGCGGACCATGGCCGCACCAGAGGACACACTCCGGGACAGCCAGCCCCCGGCAGCTGAAGACGGGTCCCCGGAACCCGAGACGGCGGCCGCAGAGGCCCCAGCACCACCTCAGGCTTCTGCCCCAGAGGTCGGAACCCAGGGAGCCCCAGAACAGGGCCCTAGACGATCCGCGAGGGTACGACGGTCCCCATCGTACCTTAAAGACTATGTTACATAAGGGAGGTTCCGGACTATGGGGGGAGGGATGTTGTGTCCACTGACCGCCACCGGAGGTCAGCGCACACGCCTGAGCTTCAGTCCTGGACAACAATGGGGACTAGGATCCTAGTCCCTCCACTGGGGGAACCAATGGGACCGTGGCGGGAGATTCAAACCCGCCAATAGGACCCAGGGGTGTGCCCCTGGCTGTGTATATAGTTGGCCTGCTGGCCGTTTGTCCCCTATCTTGTTGTGTACCTAATAAAGCGTGCTATGCACTACGTCGTCGTCTGTCGTCCTTCCATGCGGCAACCCACTACACAGTACTCTGCAAAGTGTCCACAGTCATGCAACATCCTGACCTGTCTGGACGATAACTTCCTTCATCAAATGGTGGAGGAAGCTACAAGGTGCTCGGCCATACTCGACTTAATATTTACCAACAGGCAAGAGATGGTAGATGGGGTAAAGGTGGTGGGGACCTTAGGGGGAAGTTACCATGTCCTGCTAGAATTCCTTTTACTGTGACGAACCAAGGAAGTTTGTAAACACGCATGTAAGCTATATTTCAGTAAGGCAGAATCTAATAAATTCAGAGGTATGATGAGAATCATTCCATGGGCAATGCTGGAAGGGAAAGGAGCAAGTGAGGGGTGAGCTCTGTTCCAGTATTAAACAGTTTTGGACTAAGGTTGTGTCTGCAATCTCAACTATTGTGAATTATGACATCCCAGTTACACCCCAATCAGTATTTTTAAACTATTGGCCAGATTCATCCTTAACTACCTTAAGAAAAGAACTAATTTCTTTACTGCTCTCTGCGGCTCAATCCTTGATCGCTCAGGTATGGAATCAAGATAACGTGCCTTCCGTGAGGCAATGGATATTGAAACGTTGGGACATGGCAGTGGCAGATAAAATTGCAACTCAGTTACTGGTTGCCCAAACGACGTCTTTATCTAATAATTTTATGGAGCGATGGTTTCCTTTTTTTTAATATACGTCTTCAAATTCTGGAACACTATTTAGATTACCTGACAAATATTTACATTTTGCATTTTATTAACAATCCACTTATTGTTCAACTATTGAAATAACTGTAAACAAAGGGTTATGTAGATCTCTTTTATGCTCACAAAAGTTGTTTGTTGTAAATTCATGTTTTACTTTTAAGTTATTGATGTTATAGTATTATTCGGTGAATGTATGTATTATAGAAAAATAAAAAAGTTTTGGTTTAAAAAGAAACTCAAGTTCAAGGCTTAGAGCGCAGGTGTGCAGCCCCCACCTCTCTCCAGCAGGGAAGAGGTGGGGAGGAGGCCGGGTGGTTGCTCTCAGGGGTGGGGTGGCAGGTGGGAAGGAGCCCCTCCAAATTGGGTGACCCCTGCCAAACGGGGGGTCTGGCAACCCTAGAGGAGACCTACAAAGCTGCTTGGATAGCCTTTTCCAAAAAAAAAAAAACAGGAGCTCTAGCAGAAAGTCCCTTGGTCTTTTTTAAAAAATAATAATTTTATTTATAGGTTTTCAGAAAACTATACAGTAAAAAATGTATATACATCTTGTACAACAAGACTATAAGCTTTGGGAGTCATATTTCATATTTTATAATTATTACATAGTATGATATTTCTTATCTATCCAAACATATAAATTATTCCATCTGGATTTAAACAATAATTCATCTTTACCCTGTAGGATTGCAGTTAATTTATCCATCTCCACCACATCCATTATTTTATATACTAATTCTTTCTTAGAGGGTATTCCCTCTTGTTTCCAATACTTGGCAAACAGTATACATGTTGCTGTAATTATATATGTAATGACATATTTCTCATCTGCTTTATATTCATCAGGTAGCATATTTAATAGAAAAAGTTCTGGAGTAAATGGCATGTCTATCTTTAGGGGGGGAAATTGAAACCCCCAAAGGGATATTTTTATTATTTTTCCATAAGACTACATAACTACATAACTACTTTCTAAAATAATCTTGTGAACTTTCTGCCAATATCGCTGTGTTATATGCCACCTCCACCAATTATGGTAAAAGGTGCCCACATTATTTTTACATTTCCAGCAGTTTTTAGATAAGTTTGGAAAGCATTTCGCCACCTTTTCCAGTGACCAATGCCACCTGTGAAACATTTTATACACATTTTCCTTGTATGGAATTGATCTTAAATATTTCATCAATTTCCACGTTTTGGACCAAGTATCAATAGTATGACCAGTATCTTGCATCCACGTAACCATAGAGCATTTCACTATTTCATCACATTCATAGTCATCAAGGAGAAGGCTGTTAACCTTAGAAGGCTTCGACCTAGCCATGGGATGGCACGCATACTTATGGTATGAAAAAGAAAAAATACATTCTAATTTTAAGCAACACACAATAAGAGGGGCATTAAATAAAATATGGCAAGAAATTAAAGACCGTTTTTATAATCAAACCCCGAGATGGATATCACCCCTTGAAGCTTTCATTAAACCTTCTATTATGACACACTCTAAATTGCTAAGTTATAAAACTTTGTTGGATGAAAATGGTAATTTGATCCCACAGGATAAATTGACATGGTGGGAGAATATACAGTTGAAGACGATACATGATAAAGATGAACTTAAGGGTTTTTATCGAGAAAAAACTGACTTAGATAAGCTATCTACAAGTGATAAGCTCATACAGAAATTATATAAGAAAGTCCCTTGGTCTTGTAGTTCTTGTATTGTAATTCCTGGGAGGAGCCAGGAATTAGGCAAGTGCAACACCCGCTTTCTGTTTCTCCTCAGTTGGGCCTGAGCAGAATGAGAGAAGGCCAAGACTGTAAAAAAGTTGTTAACATTTATGCAAAGACTGAGAGTGTTTTAATATAAAGGTGGAAATAATAAACCCTGAAATAGGTCTTACTGAAGAGGTTCATATCTGACAAGGCTGATGGCACAGCCACCAGAAACTGCTCTGAGGACGTAAGTCAGTTTGCAGATTTTACTGGGTGTGTGTGTGTGTGTGTGTGTGCTGTTTTCAGATGCTGCTCTGAACTTCCCAGTGGTAGGAGAGCAGGTCGATGGACTAATGCTAAGTGGTTTCCTAGGCACACTTCTTTTCTTGCAGTCTCAACATCTTCCCTGTCTCCTTCTTGGCAGGTGCCAAATTTCCCATCAAGTGGACAGCCCCTGAAGCAGCTCTTTACGGCAAGTTCACCATCAAGTCAGATGTGTGGTCCTTCGGCATTCTCCTGACTGAGCTTGTGACCAAGGGCCGGGTACCGTACCCAGGTAAAGCCATCTTAGTGGTTCAGTCCTCCCCTGGGGCCACATCTCCCTTTGACTGGGTCCGCTTTTGAGGAGTGGGTTTTGTCTTCTTTTGCCCAAGTCAAGGTTTTGTCCAGAAGATCTCCTTTTCATTGGAGATGCCAGGGGATTGGACCTTCTGCATGCCAAACATATGCTCTACCACTTAAGGGCCAAACTAGATGTGACAGTGCCCATAAGGCTGCCACGAGGACCATGACACCCTTTTGAAGTGATTTCCTGCAATGTAGTGCTCTTGCTCCCCTCTGCCCTGTGCACACACTTTTTCAAGTGCCAAAACGGTCACTGAGGGGTGATCCATGTTGGCACTTAATAAGTTGCACGGGGAACAAGAGTGCCTCCGTCCACTGCACTGAGGGCTTGCTCTCCTGACCAGTTTTCAGTCTTCAGCAGAAACTGGGTCCGCAGAAGGTTTGGAAGGAGTTAACAAACCCTTCAACCTCTTGTTACTGCAAGGAACTCTCAACATGCTCTGAGGAACCTACTACAGTTTAGATGATGTGTATTTGAGCTTAGCTAGTTCAAAGGTATTGCTTTTATTTGAACCTCCCTGTGCTCCTGTTGCTATGTGCCTCTCCCTGCATTGTGTTTTTTGGCCTTTTCCACCCCCTTTTGAAATCCAACCACCTCCCCACCCCCCTTTTATAAAAAGCTTTTTTCTATATAAAGACATTTTTGGCTTCGCTTGTTTCTCTGGGATAGATTTCTTTATCTCTTCCCACATGCTAGACTACACAGGTGCTACTAGGCTGGCTATAAGGTATTTAGGGTTTCTACCCTGTCACTTTATTATTGTACTAGTACTGCACCAGAAGGGTGCCTTCTTAGAGGGCCAGTCTAGATGTTCTCCGAAGGTCCTGAGTGGTGGCAGTGGGTGACCAATGTATGTTTCAGGGAACCCTTGGTCTAAAAGAGTTTCCCAGCAAAGAAAGGCAGCATTTCCACCCTTCCTACCACACTAATCAGGCCCACAGCAGCAACATCCCCATGGCGGCCACAAGGAGGCTCTCCTGTCTAGTTTGGCCCTTCATGGTGGCCCTTTCCTAGCATTGTAGCTGGAAAAATCTGATTGATGCTGCTTTCCTACTATTTTGCTCCCTACTGCTTTGTAACTGTTGAGTTTTCTGGATAAAAAAATGATACATTTTACAGACACCAAACTTAACATCAGTAAAGAGGGAAACATATCTGCCTCCAGTAATTCAGAACCAGGTTGATTACCTGATCAAACAAGGCAGAAGAGATCCGCACGGATGATGACTAAGTTCACTTTCCTGAGCATCAGATTTAAAAACGTAGAACCATCAGGAAAGGAAAATGGGTTTATCCTCACTACAGACATAAGATTTAACCAGTCATTTTCCCCCCCAGTGGATCCTAGGAATTTTAATTCAGGGGCATGGGGGAAATTGATTCTTAGTTGGGAGCACACAAGTGCTCCGTGTAGAGCAGTGCAGCCACACTGGTCCCCCCCGGCTACAGCCCTGCCTTCGGCAAACATTGTGAGGATAAGGGGAGGCAAGATTTGTGTGTGGGATAAAAATGTGATAAATGAGGAGGAAAATCTAAGTACAGCACCCCCTCTTCTGCTGATTATCATGGGACACAACCCATTTAGAAGAAGAAGAAGAAGAGATTGGATTTATACCCCGCCTTTCACTTGGAGTCTCAGAGCGGCTTACAAACTCCTTTCCCTTCCCCTCCCCACAACAGACACCCTGTGAGGTGGGTGGGGCTGAGAGAACTCTGACACAAACTGCTCTTTTTCAAGGACAGCTGTGCCAGAGCTTGTGACTGACCCAAGGTCACATCAGCAGGTGCAAGTGGAGGAGTGGGGAATCAAACCCGGTTCTCCCATATTAGAGTCCGCCAGGGCTTTTTTTGAAGAAAAAGCCCAGCAGGAACCCATTAGCATAATAGGCCACACCCAACAGCAGAAACTCATTAGCATATTAGGCTACACCCCTGCTTCTTCTACCTGTTTAGTACACTGAAACCGAGCCTCAAAATGAGGGAAAAGGACTGTATGTGGCAAACGTCCCACAGCTAAATGGGACCCCAAGCTCAGTCTTTTCTCAAGTCAGAGGCCTCAGTCAGCGAGCGTTGAGAAGCAAGGCATTGCAGGGACCAGTTAGTGGGAAGCACAGCAGAGGCATCTAGTGGCAGAATTCAGAATTGCAAGAGAAGCAATTTTTGACGCAAAATCTATGTGCTCAAATACCGCAACAGCAGGGCTTTTGGTGAGGGAGGGGAGGGGCAGGCTCAGAAGCCAGCCGGAACTCCTTTCCTGTGCGTTCCTGCCCAAAAAAAGCCCTGGAGTCCACACACTTAACCTCTACACCAAACTGGCTCTTTTGACTCACTAGGAGCTTGGGGGAGTTCTGAGAACAGATATTGAGCACCACAGCAAAATGTTTGACTTCGAGATGGAGGGAACCAATCCCAAAATGGCTGACATGGGGACAGGTTCCAGCCATAGAATGTTGGGGAGAGTATTTCCATGGTGTAGGCCACTGTTCTGAATTTGGTGCTCCCTGCCGAGACAGCGGGAATGCCTCCTGGGCTCTTCTGAAGCACCTCTTGCTCCAATAAAGTGGAGAAAAGTCAGGACTAGCTCTTAGCTTTAGGGAAAAGATGATTTGGGGTTTTGGGGTGCATTGGCACCATGGGGCCCAGGGCACCACATTGGGGGCCACAGCACTAAGAAATCCTATTCTGTTATTACTGTATATTTCAGTAGCTTGTACTAGGAAGACTGTGGTGTGAGGACTTCACAACTGCCTACATGTACACACTTGTGGTGTTACCCCCCGCCAAGACACACACAGAGTCTCCGGCCATGAATTTTTAAATATA